TGTGTTTGGACTTTTGAGCCCACCAAAATCTGTAGAAAGATACCTATAACGTGTTGGCTAATTTAGAAATGATACGTAACTGTCCCAAAAGGTGGCAAAGTTCCTTGCATGTTATGTATGCTTCAAGATAAAGATTATTTATTTTAATACTACTTTTTTTTCCCAAAAATTTGGTGAGAGCTAAACTACTTGGAGTGGGAACTAATTAATAATTCTCATTTCTCATAAAATCAAGTCAAATGAGTGATGCTTTGTCTTGGGGGAGGGGGGGGGGAATCATTACATCCCCCAACTTCTTTTCCAAAATTCAAAACTCTCTACCTATCGGTGTGATTGGTAAGAACTATTAAAAAAAAAAGGAAAATAAGTGTTTTTTAAAAAAAATATTTTCTTATCTTTAGTAAATAAGTATGAAAATATCATTTTAAATGTATCTGTGTAACATTTAGACAAATAATATAAAAGGAGGAGAGGGGACTACAGGGGTATGGTGAAGATGATGTATGGAGGACACAATTAATTTAAAATGCCAAAGTGAAACTTGAATTTCCTTTTTACATTAGAGAGGTGATTTTTTCTAATTTTTAATGAACTTGTTTTTCCAGAACTTTGTTTAAATTTTTTTAAAAGTTGTTCTTACTTATGGTTAAAAATCAAATCGAATCGCAATATGAACTAAACCAATTAAAAAATCTAATAGTTGGTGTAGTTTTGCTAGGTCTGGTTCTTTCTAAATTTTGAAAATTGATACTATTTGGTTTTGTTGGAGTTTTACTAAAAAAAGTTTAAAACCAACAAAACCGAACGTGAAATTATATATAAATATTATGATTATTTATATATTAGGTAAAATTATTCGTGCTTCACACGGGATTGAACTCTTTTACTATGCTTACGCATGATTATTCGGTAATATTTGTATTTTTGATTCACACTCTACATTGTTAATAATATTTTTTCTTCAAGTAAAGCATTTCTTCGAAATCTTAAAGTGCTATACTAATAACACAAGCACAAACTGGTTGTAAAAGAGAACACTACGATTTGTAATAATAGAATGAAATATAAAGGAAAAATTGAGCCCACCGAATGCACAATGTTTCTAGTTTAAAGAAATTATTCTCATCTAATATTCGAGGTTTAAAAGAATAAATCCTCTCAAGATAAAATTATTATATTCACCAGTGTATTGGTACAAATACAATGGTCTAACAGCGCAGCAACGTACACAAATACATATTTGTGCAGAAGAAGAACAATTTCATAATTTTTATATTTTTTTTTAAAAAAGAGAGGCAATTCCTCTATTTGTAGGCAACAAAGAGTAGTTACAACAAATGTTTATTGTGATTTATTGGAAAGTGTAACAACTCCTTGAAAAAGTTAAAATCCTTTAGAAATGTAACAACCTTTCATTAAAGTCGCACATTTTCATAAAAGTCCCAAGCTATTCATAAAAGTCACAGCATTGCGTAAAAACAACAACTTTTCATTAAAGTCACAACTCTTCATAAAAGTCACAACTTTTCATAAAAGTCAAAACATTTCATGAAAGGGGAAAACTAGTTTTGAAAATAATAAACTTCAAAAGGAATCCTTGTTTGTGGTGGCTTCACGTAGCCAAACCTTGGGTTCTTCCAAAAAAATTATAAAGAAATATTGTTTTGTGGTGGTGCCACAAGGAGAGCTTTGTTAAATTTAAGTTATCTTCGGTGTTAACAACATCATTTTCTCAAGCCTAACAGTTAAATTTTAGCCCACCTATTAAAACCCTAAGACCAAGTTATCAAAATCTATTACTTTAATCTTTACCTACCCTACGTTACATTAGATAGTCACACTTTCTCTTAATTAAATCAGTTTGTTCGTGTAATAATAGCTCTAGAGTTGTTTAATTGATTCCATAACAATTTTCTTGTGGATTGTTCATGTATTAGGTGATTGTGCCTATCGAGACGCTTATACTATCAACAAATTTAATTTATTACTTTCAAATTGAAGAAAAAAACCGAACCAAACAAAATTAAACCGATACCAATCGAACCGACTTTTTTATTTGGTTAGGTTTTAGAAATTTTCAAACCGACTAAATTATTTTGATGTTGATTTTAGCCAGTAACCGATACAAATCGATCCATGAACACTCCTAAAATATTTTACCAAACAAATATAAAACTGAGATAAATTTAGTAAAATACAATTTTCTAACTTACATTGTAAAACTGTAACTCGTAACTTACCTCGCAAATGTTTGACCCCATAGCTTCGATAAGAAAATGATTTTGCTATTGGTGACAAATAACGGGTTTATTATCGGCTAGTTTTGGCATTTATTTTAGAGGAAATTTCGTAAATAGTTAAGAGAAGAATGATATTGAGACTTCTTAACTGATGTTCGGATAATAACATATTAGATTTATAGTTTGAATGGTTATCCATATAACAATTTGTATATCTCACATGGCTATTAAACATTTATACAAATAGGGTTTTCCAAGTAATTTTTTATAATGATCTACATTGCAAGTTTGAGAAATAAACCCATGAATCATAGTCCCACGAATTACGGAAAGAATCACACAAATCATGTAGCTACCCTTCTAGAGAGATACTATAACTTGACAAAAAAATCTAATTTAATCCTTGCGACATTAAAAGAGATTAACGAAGGGCATACTGATTTTAATCTAGTTGAGGAATTTGGTGCATAATAAATAATTTAGTTAAGGATGTGCATCTTGCCCATTTAAATATTTATTTGAGGTCAAAATTTAATGGCATGAAATTTTGAACTTATGAAGAAAAACCCTCCCAAAATCTGTTAAAAAATAATTGACGACCTTTCCATGCATATATTATCCTCATACATAAGGACAAAATAGCAAGAATAATATCAACTTTCGTGTAGCAAAATAAGTCGGTTCATGCTTCACACAAACTTCCAAAAATTATAGTAAATTAGTATATTACAAGACTTGGGTTTACACACCCCAAAAATATAAAAACGTATAGCTATACTTATATTAAAACACATGGTGACATGACCAAATCAACCCTCAAAATTTCATGTAAATATACAACACGTAGATCATGTACAAATCCCAAGGTTTATACAAAATATATGTGCCTACATGCAAGTGATCTTCATTAAGGCTTTCATAATATTTATCTTCAATGGACAACTTCAAGCATCCTCTCGAACATTCCCTCGATAGAAACAATTATCGATAAAAATATAGCTTAGTGGTGTAAAAATTATAGATCCGGAGCCATCAGATTCACCAAGTTATCATTCTCAAGTCAAGGGAAGCACAATTGGAACATAATCAGTAAATGAAGTAAACAATAAACAAAGAGTATCAAGTTGGATATTGAAAGATCCAACTGTCAATAACTCTCATAGCATCATTTTTCAAGAGGTTCAATAACAAGACTCGCCTAATATATACATCATGTCGTCACACCAAGCACGAGCATGTATCAAGAAGGGTCAACGCCCTGTATAGAGAAGGGTCAAAGCCCAATAATTAAGAGAACTAAGAACAATATTAAAAATGACTTTCTAGTTCGTTCTTAAAATGGACAACTACCATACTTAAGACGGAAATTCAGAGTCAAAATTTAAAATGATTAGAATCAAAAAGGCATGCCAATAGTGACAAGGTCACATGCACAAAAAGGACAAGGTCCCAACAAGAGTGCCAAGTGATCAAATAATTCGTACAAGTGGACGAGTCACACAAGAGTCTTTACTGTTTTAAATGAAAACAACATAATAATCCAATACTACAAAAGGTAACCAAGGTACAAAGATAAACTTTGACATACACCAGCAGGTAAATATAGTACAAGTACAAGGCCATACAAAAACCTTAGTTCTTTAGACAAGAAACAGTCCAACACAACTTCAAGAGTTCAAACCGTAGATCAATCAACGTATGAAGGTCGTCAACTTGTTCACAAGTATATACAACATTACAAATATAATTAAATAACTTATTTAATTCCAAGTATCACAATAATGTTGAAGTAAAATAGGATAATCATCACAAGTATGCTTAGCTTTTAGAAATACGACTATGCTCCCAGAATAGTGATTCTGTCCAGCTTAATATCTCATGTCGCAACATAGATTTGAAAAGAAAAACGACAAATCCTGAATTTATAACCTTCATGAAAGATTTAGGTACATCTCTTGAGCTTGCAAATAATTACGAATCACCGAAAATTACATTTTGTACAAAAAGTTCTAATCAAAACACTAAAAGTTGAACATACATGATTTCTAATTGCAGAAGCTGGACAGAACTTCTCCTATGTTGTGTCCCAAATTTCAAATCCATAACAGAAAAATTAGTGTTTTATATAAACATGAGAGTTGTTGGTATACGAAATAGCTTTATAAAAAATATTATTATCTTTAAATTAAGTTCTATGGAAAGAGATTTTCATAAAATGTCAAACACTACCCAACTCAAAAGCAGATTTTATCACTTACCAAGATGAAGTGTGCGTGTCGTATTCAAGCCAAAAGGACCTAGTTTTTCTCTTGTTTTCAATAACAACTATTTATTCAATGTTTTAAGGTTCCTTTACTTCAGGTGAGACAAAATTTACTAGCATAGGTGTCAAAATATAGCCTCAAAAGAGAGGCTAGTAACATCTACAACTGTCACTAAAAGGGTGCTGCTCAAATTATTGTGTGCTGCCCAAAATGCATACATATACACCTATATGTATATACTTGATACCAATAGTTTCAATTTATATGGAATTCTAATTAGTCAAATTATGAAAATACCCCAATACAATACCTTAAGTTACCGTAACACTTATATTAAGCAAGATTATAAGTATCACAAAATCTCAAGTCCCCAAAATGAGAATAAAACATATTATTGTAATTGAGCAATGGTGTATTGACATGCAAATATTGGTCTAGTATTTTAGGGGTGTTACAACTCTCTCCCTATTAAATAAATTTCGTCTCGAAATTAACCTTACTCTAGTCCCGAAAAAAGTGCAAATATTGGGTCCTCGTGTCTTTTTCTCTCTCCCAAGTAGCTTCTTTTTCCAGAATAGTTACTCCAAAGTACCTTTACTAAGGGGATTGTCTTGTTGCTAAGATTATGTACTTCCCGAGCTTGAATTAGGATTGGTCCTTCATTATACGTCAATTTGGAATTGACCTCAATAGATTCAACTTGAAGAACATGAGATGGATCCGAACAGTATCTTCTAGGCATAGAAACATGGAAGACATTGTGGATCTTGTCTATTTCAGGTGGTAAAGCCAATTTATATGCAACTTGTTCAACCCTTTCAAGTATCTCATAAGGTCCAAAAAATCGGGGACTAAGTTTTCCATTTTTTCCAAATCTCATTATCTTTTTCCATGGAGACACCTTTAAGAATACTTTATCTTCAACTTGATATTCAATGTCACACCTTGTTAGATCAGCTAGCAACTTTAGTCTATCCGAAGAAATCTTTAAACAATCCTTGCTAATTTTTATCTTGTCCTCTATTTGTTGCACCATTTTAGGACCAATAAGCTTTCTTTCACCAATTTCACTCCAACAAAGATAGATCAGACCTTTTCTTCCATATAAGGCTTCGAAGGGAGGCATTCCAATACTTGATTATTAGATTTTATTGTAAGAAAATTCTATCATAGCCAAGTGTTTGTCCCAACTACCCTCAAACTCCATAATTCATGCTCCAAGCATATCCTCAAAAATTTGTATCGCTCTTTCCGACTGGCCGTATGAATGAGGATGGAACAAAGTGCTAACTTTCAAATTTGTACCCAAAGATTCCTACAAGATGACCCAAAATCTAGATGTAAATATTGGGTCTCTGTTAGATACAATAAACACTAGGATCCCATTTAGTATTACAATCTCATTAATATACAACTTGGCTAAATGTTCAAGTGAGTAATCTTGGTTAGACTATCAACAATCACCCATATTGCATCATGATTTCTTTGAGTGTGAGGAAGTCTAGAAACAAAATAGATAATTATTCTCTCCCATTTCTATTCTGTCATCAACAATGGTTGTAGTAAACCAACAGGGACTTGATGTTTTGCCTTTAGTTGTTGACAAATCAAAATTTTTGAAATGAACTACGCAATGTCTCTCTTCATACCATTCCACAATTAATTTTCTTTGATGGTCTGGTACATCATTGTACCTCCAGAATGCATTGCATATGGTGAAGAATGTGCTTCTTTTAATATTTCTCTCCTCAATTTGTCATCATTAGCGACGCATAATGTTTATTGATAAAGTAAGATACCATCCTTTGTTGATGTAAAATCACGTTTTCCCCATTTTTCACTTCTCTAGTAAATTTTACAAGTTTCTCATCTAACATTTGTACTTCTTCACCTATTTAAGTAATATTGGCTTTGCTTGCAAATTAGCAATAACTAAACCATTGGAATCAGGTGTAAAAAAACATTCATGGATCTTAATTCATGAAGCAATGTCAAAGGACTCAAACAAATGCTTGTGAAGGATTATTGACTTAAGACATCGACAACCACATTAGCTTTACCTGGAAGATAATCAATTGTCCAGTCATAATCCTTGATGAGTTCAAGTCATCTACGCTGTCTTAGGTTTAGCTCCTTTTCAGTACCCAACTACTTTAAGCTCTTGCGTGTGATCAGTGAATATATGACATTTTCTCCATACAAATAATGTCGCCATATTTTAAAAGCAAACACTACAACAACAAGTTAAAGATCACGAGTATGATAATTCAATTCACGCGGTTTTAATTTCTGAGAAGCATAAGATATTACCTTCCCTTCTTGCATCAAAACACATCCTAAACCATTGTGAAAAGCATCAGTGTACACTACATATTCTTTCCCTTCAATTGGTAGAGTAAGTATGGGTGTTTGAGTCAGCAAGGATTTGAGAGTTTGAAAGGCCTCTTGATATTTTTAATCCCACATAAACTTTACTTACTTCTGCAAGAGCTTAATAAAAGGGGACACAATATTGGAGATTTTTTTCACAAATCTTCTATAGTATCCTGCTAAGCCCATGAAACTTCTCACCTCAGTTGGACTTTTGAGAGGTCTCCATTCAACAAATGCTTGTATCTTACTAGGATCCACCTTCACGCCTTCTCTTGATACAACATGTCCCCGAAAAGTCACTTCATTAACCAAAAATTAGCATAAATATCATTCTTCTTCAAAATATGCAAAATAATTCGGAGGTGTTTATCATTGTCTTCACTACTTATGGATAATATTAAAATATCATCTATCAAAACAACCACAAACTGATTAAGATAAGGCTTGAATACTCTATTCATTAGATCAATGAATACCACAAGAGCATTTGCCAATCCGAATGGCATCATCAAAAATTAATAATGAAAATGTCGAGTTGTAAAAGCAGTTTTAAGAATATCATTCTTTTTAACACACAGTTTGTGATATCCAGACCTTAAATCAATATTTGAGAGTAATTTAGCACCCTTCAGTTGGTCAAACAAATCATCAATCCTTGGTAGTGGATATCTATTCTTTATTATTATTATGTTCAATTATCTATAGTCAATACAAAGCCTAAGAGTGTCATCTTTCTTCTATACAAATAAAACAGGGGCTCCCTAAAGAAAAATACTAGGTCAAATAAAACCTTTCTCACCAATTTCTTGGGATAGAGATTTCAATTCTCTTAATTCTACTGGAGTCATTCTATAAGGAGTGATGAAAATAGGCGTAGACCCAGGAATAAGCTCGCTTGGATAATCAACCTCTCTTTCCATGGGAAATCCAGGAAAGTTTTCTAGAAAGACTTCTGCAAAATCACATACAACAGATATGTCATTCACAAAAGGACTCTTCAACTATGTATCAAGTATGTGAGCAAGGTATGCCCTACAACCTTGACGCATCAACTTTATTTCCAAGGCCGCATAAATAATACTAGATGTCAATTATCTTTCACATTGTACAAGGATGTGTGATCATGTAAGATCTTTAAAAGCTACATGCTTTGACCTTGAATCTACGACTACATGATATTTATAATGTCAATCCATCTCGATAATAAGATCAAAATCCTTGAAGGGAATTTAAACCAAATCAACAGGGAAGTCTAGGTTTTGAATCACGAAGGCACAATCACGATAAAACAATAAAACACAACCTGATAACTCAACGGACTTTCAACCAGCACATCATAATTAAGTCTTATGAATTTCACATTTTCTGGAAGAACAATTGATGAACAAATATAGGAATGTGTAAAACCAAGATAAAACAATGAAAACACACACAAGCCAAATAAGTGAAATTTACCGACTACCACATCTTGTCCATCTTGATCATCTCTCTGCCTCATACCATAAGCACGTGCAACACCCTTTTGTCCAATAGCTTTATTAGCTCCACTTGTACCTACTGCTTGGGTGTTTTTAGGTCTTTCACCTTCTTTAGTTTGAGGAGGATTAACAGAAGGCTTATGAAACGAACCATTAGTTTACGAAACATTATTAGGATTAGGAAAGTCCTTCACTTTATGATCAAAACTCCCACAATTAAAATATGCAATAGTGGCTCTTGTGCAAGTACCAAAATGATTCTTTCCATATTGAGGACAAGTGGGAATGCGAGGCTAGCCTTGTCCATAATTTGGAGTACTAGAGGTAGAAAAGTCTGATCTCTTTTGCTTTTGTTGCGGTGGTCGGTTATCACTACCAACCTTAGAATTATCGAACCTTCCCCTTTTTGATGGACCCCCAAAATCTGGTCTAGGCTTTCGAAATCTATTTCCATACCTACTTTCTTCTTCTTTATCAAGTCGCTCCCAAGTAGAAGCAGCAGACACTAACTTACAAAAGTTCTCATGTTGTAGGATCGCCACATTCTTCCTTAGGGATCATTTAGAACTATCTTCAAATTTCTTGTACTCATCTTTTTCCTCTTTAATAATACCTGAAGCATAATGAGAAATCCTTAGAAACTTTTGTTCATATTTAGCAATAGACATGACTCATTGCGATAGATTCAAAAACTCCCTTTTCATTGCATCACAATAAGTAGGTGGTACATACATCATACGAAATTCATTAAGAAAATCATCCCAAGTAAGAACATCAGGTTTTACCTTGACGTCCAGAACTCTTACCCACCAATCATAAGCATCCTTTTATTATAGTGAAATAGCATACTTAAATTTGGCAACATCTGAACACTCCAACTGCTCAAACACCATCTCCATGCGATCTAGCCATTGTTCAGCATCAATGGGATCAACAATGCCTTCAAACTCCACTCCACACATTTTTCTCATTTTCTCAAAGTTAATCCCATTGGGATCATGCATTAATTCAGCAATGTGGTGGAAAAATTTAACCATATGTTAAAATGGAGGATTCATGGCTTGAGTATCTAACTCATGTGAGGACGTGAACCAACTCTTAGACGCTGAAGGTTTCCTACTTTAGGCCGACTTGTTTCTGGAACATACTCATTTGAGATATGTTCTCTAACCCTTTCCAGTGCGTGAGGTTTGAAAATAGAGGTACCTAAACCTTCACAAGCAGCTTCCGTAGGTCGGTAAGAAGAAGAGTCCATAAATTAATTCCTTCAAGAGTGAAGATCACATTGCATTAGAGACATATACATGATGCATGTGCACTCCACATGTAATAAGAATATGACAATCATATCAGTGAACATGAACTCTAAATAGAACCTTTACGAAATCAAATAACTATACTAGTAATTCACAACAAAAGTCCTAGAACCACAAACCTATGCTCTGATACCGACAGTTGTAGTGACCCTTTTTATAAATACTACAACTTTACAAGAAACATAATTTAATACTTGCGACATTTTAAAGAGTATAACGAAGAGCAAATTGATTTCCTCTAGTTAAGGGATTAGGTTTAAAATGAATAATTTAGTTAAGGATGAGCATTTTGCCCATTTAAACATTTATTTGAAGTCAAAATCGATATGGCATGAAATTTTAACTTATGATGGAAACCCTCCCGAAATCTGTTTAGCAAATAATCGACGAGCTTTTCATGCATATATTGTCCTCATACTTAACGACGAATTAACAAGAATAATACCAACTTCTGTATAATGAAATCAGTCAGTTCATGCTTCACACAAACATTCAAAACATATGGTAAATTATTATATTACAAGACTTGGGTTTACACAACCCAAAAAAGATAAAAACGTATAGCCATACTTATATTACAACCCATTCTGACATAATCAAATCAGGCATAAAAATTTCATGTAAATATACAATACATATATCTATACAAATCCCAAGTTTTATACAAAATATATATGCCTATATGAAAGTGAGATCTTCTTTAATACTTCAATAATCTCCATCTTCAATGACCAACTTCAAGCGTCCTCATGAACATTCACTGCGATAGAAACAACTATCGCAAATCATATAGTAGTGGTGTAAAAACTATAGATCTGGAGCCCTCCGATTCACCAAGTTATCATTCTGAAGTCAAGGGCAGCACAATT